TGTAAACAGTTATGTCTTCTTCTACAAGATTAAATAAACACAGTAATTACAGCCTGATTAGGTGTAAAAAAAAAAAATATATATATATAAGATCATGTTATATTTTGTTTAATTCAAATTATTAGTATAATACTTTTAAAAAATCTATATTAGTATTGATTACTATTTTATTTTAGATACTATAAGATACAATTTCTTGAAAATTCAAATAATAATAATTATATAACAGTTTTTTAAATGTATTTAATTTAACTATTAACAAGTAAACAATATCAGGTTTAATATTAATAATTGTATAAATCTTTAAAAAGTAATTGTTAATTCTTTTTTTAAGAAGTTATAGAAGAAAAAAATTTTTTAATGCCTATTTTTTTGAAAAAAACTATTGTTTTTTAATGTAGTTCTTAAGAAAAAAAATCAATTAACTAGAGGAGTAATGAAATAGAAAACAGTATTTCAAAAGAAATATAAGACCTAGAGAGAAAATAACTTTAGAAAGAAGAAAAAATCTAACTTTGACAGAAAAAAAAAATGAAAAAAAGAAAAGTATAAAAAAAAAATAAATAAAAAGAATGAAAAAAAAAATAAAAAAAGTAATTAATTCAAAAATTTTTCTAAAAAGAAAATCTTCAAGTATAGAATGAGAAAATAAGAAGGAGTTTTTTTAAAATTAATAACTTATATTATTAATTTTTAAATTTTTTATTAATTAAAATTTGTTTTATATTAATATAACTTAAATATATATTTCTGAATATAATTAGTAAATCTGTTGCTAAATTGTAATTTTTAACTGTATAATATTGAAATAGGTGTTTAAATTTGATATAAAATGAATAATGTTATAATTGAATCGTGGTGTCACTTGTGCCACTTAATTATTTTCTTACTTTTTTACAATAGTTTTTTAATAAATTTCTATTAAATCAATAATCTAAAAAACTTTAAAGGTTTAATACTAAATAAATTACTTCGAAATAAATTTCAATATAAATATAGAATTTTTAAAAATTTCCAGGCATTTTTTTTCATTTTCATTTTGAATCTGTTTAAAAATCTATGAAAAATAGTAGAGATAATGGTTTTATCATTTACTACTTTAATCTTGCTTTCTAATTTTAAATCTAAATTTCTATAATATACTGTATCGACCATTGCATTCTAATTGAATACAGTAATGCTGTCTGTGTTCGGTCACAAGTGTAACTATTTAATATTGCTTGATGAAATTTTCTCAGAGTTTATTTACTATCATTGTTGAAAACCAAAGAATACAAAATGAGAACAGAATTCTATACGAATTTATCTCTAGACTTCTCCCAACTTCTTGAAGACGCAGATGACTATAATGTAAATATTAGAGTTGGGGAAAATACCGAAACCAAAGAATTTCGCGCACATTCTACAATTTTAAGGGCACGTTCACCTTATTTCAAAAGGGCGCTCTCCGATTCATGGGTTACCATTAAAGATGGGGTCATTTTATTTAATAAGCCGAATATTTCCCCAAACGTTTTTACACTAATTCTTAAGTAATTTACCGTTAATTGATT